ATATTTTATATATATATATATATTATTTATTTATTTATTTATTTATTTATTTATTTCATCCTCAAATGTCATATTATTAAATATCTTATCATTTAAATAGAAATAAATGTAAAAATTAATGATTAATATATGTTAATTTAATGGAATAACTAAAACTTATATTTTTAAAATTAAAGGAACTAAATGTCTTTAATAAAAGTATATTTTTTTTCTAAAAAAAATCCTATAACAATTGTATTTTTTTATATAAAAATACTATAACAATTAAATTTTCTCCATTTTTTTCTTCTTCTTTCTTTTGGTTTTTATGAGTATTAGATGCCTTAGACTCCAAGGTCAATTTTTGGTTTATTAATCTTTACCTTTTTTTCAATCTTGATCTTAATTTCCACCGTATGATCCATTGGTTCATATTTGAATGAGGTTGGAAATGTTGCATTTCCCGAATATTTAATTAGAGTTTAACTCCTAGAAATTAAAAGTGTATGTATTTTAGATTTAATGTGAGTTGAGTTTACGAAATATTTTAACTTAAATAAACAATAAATAATTTTTTATTTTTAAATAATTTTACACAATGTTTCGATATATAGAAATTTGTTAATATTTATTCTCCTTCCTCCGATTTATGGATTCAACTCTCAGGGGAGGATAGAACAGGCCTTGGCCCACCTCCGTCAAGGACTTCACATATTCTGTGTATATAAAATGGCTCAACACATTACATGTATATACGGGATACGTGGGAATAGCAGGAAGTTGCTATCACAAGCTTGGTAAGATTTAGTAATCATTGTTAATTGTAAAAAAAAAAAAAAAAACTAATTGGAGTTGCTTTGTGCAAGCAAGAACATTTGCCAAGTATAATATATCTACAGGTCCAATCAATTAAAAACTCGAGATATAGGTTTACTCTTAAACCAACGAACGATGGAGAGTATTATTTTTGTTCTACAAAAAGAAATACAAGTTTATTTTTAAATATATTAATTAATAAAAAGCTATACCCAAGTTTTACTTTAAAAAATTTATATTCTTAAATTATTATGAATTTATTAATGAATCATTCACTCGTTTTTATATGCATGAATGCATTTATTAAACTACTAATATATATATATATATAT